TCATGGAATGACACGGAAGTGTCACATTGAAGGTTCCATGATAACCGCCGTATGAACACATCTGCGGGTGTTTCTAAATTCAAAATTTTACTATATCATGTTTAAATGTTGAATTCTGCTTAAGCCGGTGCTAGGGGGCGTGGACCGGTAACTTGCACTTTCCAGTACCGTCCATGAACAGGCTCAATCAAACCGAGCCTGCAACATTTTCAATTTTGCCGTGTTGGGCTTTCTTTAAGGATTCTGTATTTATCTATCTTATTAAGATTGTCCAGGATTTATACCTTTGTCTTTGCAATGCTATCATGTTTCTATAAAATGCGTGAATGAAAAAAGCGGGGAAAATGATGCAACTAGCTAAAACAATGGAGTATTTCAATGAAATGTGTAAAATGGAAAATGTAAAAAAATGAGCTTATAAATTGAATCAAATTCTTTATTTGATGTACGTTATTCACTAAATGAACAAGATTATTTAAAATCCCTATTGATTATACTTATTGATAAACATATCTCATTTTCTTTCTTTTTTATTGCTCTTCTGTGCATCAGTGTATTGATTTGTTCCTTTAACCAAGACATTGTAAACATTAACTGAAACTCACAGGTCATATACACTGAACCAACAACAAAAAGTTAAAAAATAGTAAAAATAACAACAATATCACACCTTCGGGCACATGTTTTGTGTCAAACCGGTCTTATCAGTGTCTTGACAGCCAAAAACTTGTAGAAAAATAGAACCTGTACTAATTTTCTTGCAAGAAATTATCTTCATGGATGTCACATAATTTCTGGTTAAAACCATTCAAGTAGGGTGTCGACGTCTACATTATCCAATTCAAGAGAATATGATACTTGCATTCAAGACTTGGATAGGTGTAGACGCGGCCTAAATGTTGAAAAGAGATAAACGTACACAATTAATATCTTTCCATATTGAAAGGTTCTCAAACATTCGTCATACAAATTAATCACTTCAATAAATCTTGGTGAGAGGGCTTTAGTCAGCATGTTTCTATTTACACATGCTTCTAAAACAGATACTGATCTTAGTTGGAGAGCTTTTATTCAATAAATCACGACATAGCAAACTCGTTTTAACCAAAATAAGATAAAAATTGTTATTAATGACATGAAAGAATGGCAATTTTTGTGATAAGTGATTGTCAATTTTTATAAACTTGATGTAACGCGTAAATATGTCGTTTTTAACAAAGAGCAATAATTTCACAATGCCAGTAAAATTATTTTTTAAAAATGAAAAATAACAAAAAACAAAAGTGATACATAATACAAGATTAAAGCATTTAAAATCAATTCTACTTTAAGTACATTAGTTTACTCAAGATAAAAAAAAATTTGTGACTGATTACCATGGATAGTTTTAAATCTTGCATGAACTGAGACATTTACTTTCAGTCTGGAGTTATTCCAGTACATTGTTTAGTCCATTTATCGTACAGCAAATTGCCATTTGTTAAAGGAACGCCATTCGTTTTGTTTCATCAATTTGTTTTATATCATTGTCATGCATTGATTCCTACAAGACCCATTTTTTTTTAATTTGAATTATCACATAACTGTTCAAAAAACATTCACCACAAAATGAACACATATCAATTTTCGTCGTTAAACTAATAAAAGGTCAGGGTAGAGATAAATCAAATTGCTAATGGATTTTCGTTGTCCTTACGAGTACATGTAACATATAGACTCATCGACTTACAATGAAATGCTAATTAATTGTATGAATGGTATAGCAAGGCCGTGCATATATTTTGACGTAACGACATTTGTTTTGTACCAACACAGTGTATGTTAGCGTTTCACTACAGTATAGGAGAGTCAATGAAAACGATTTTCTTCTTCTTTTAAACAGTCTTTAATTTGGTTTAGTGATAAAAAGAAATTTATATTCATATAGGTTCATTATTGAATTTATTGAACTCGTTGAATGAAATAATATTATGCTCGCCAGTTTGTAAACATTATTTCAATTTGTAAGATGTAGTTGGAATCCCTATCCTTATGTTTCGGAGTCACAATGATCGTATTGGATTCATTTGTATAAGTCAATCCGGATGTTCAATATTTTTTCACAACACTTTAAGTCATATTTTCAGCCAATCTTTTAGGAGAACATCAAGTGTCTACAGCACTTCTATTAAACATATTTAATGAGCAAATTGAATTGAAAAGTAGGAAAAGTGTGGGATTGATTTTGCATTTTCTTAAATTTTGCTTCCCCACAAAGGGCAAACATGAATAGTATAATGTTTAAATAATAGTTTTAGAGAATGTTCGCTACTTGTTATCCGATGAAAGTAACGCTTATGAGAAAAATTCGTCCGCAGCAAAATATAAACAAAGTAGTATTTTGACTTCCATACAAAATACCAATTCACTATAATTGTACATATTGCCAAAAAAAAATAAAAGGTGAAAAATATAGTTTAGGAAATTGGCCAATAAGTAACCTTTTGGATACTAAAAAGTACACCAAATTAAAAAAAATTGAGAAACATAAATAAAAGCATTTCTGAGGCATAATTTGCCTTTTAGTTAATTTTAGAACCTATACAACGTATGGCCTGAAAAAATATGGTTACACACCTTTAACAAGTTAAAGTTTGAAAACAATAATTTACTGAAAAGAGCCCCCCAAAAGAGTATTACAACGTCATCTCTAAGCCCACTTGTCATTTTATGACCGACAGGATTTCGGTTAAAGTATGAGTTATTAATCTATCAGATAGGAGTACTTCAGCCTTTTTAAACAAGACACGTGTGATGTGTGTTACAGAAATAATCGTCATGTTATTAGCACTCGTTCTCACGTTTACATATAGTTGAGATAGAGTTTATACAGATATATATGTACTTGTTAAACTAGCGATTTGTTTAAACCGGCGGTCGAGGGGTTAGAGTCGATCATTTCTAATCCAGTTACCTGTCTGGCGTGGGTTCGATCTCCGGGAGATGCTTTGGTAGTTTAGCGCGGAGGAAGGTAGTCTTTTACTGGTGTAACTCTCCAGGAACGATGGTTAGGAAACTACCCGCCTATATGACGGAAATACTGTTGGGAAAAGGCGTAAAATGAAACAAACAAACAAACAATTTGTTTAAACACTGAAATATGATACTAAAAATTAAATTAAGTTGTATACAACATAAGGCTCATCACATCATACTGACTGTACTTAATTCAATCCAATTACATACAAAACTAAAAATCCTTTATTTATGCTGACTTTCTGAATATATATTTGGCCAAATTAAATGCACCTTGTTAAGAAAATTTTGTCAATACACTCTTTGCAGACGAAATAAATGTAACATGATGATAAAAATGTTATTTTTAAGAGTAATAATTAGAATTTAATTGTAAAATTTAAGAGGTAAAAATTGTTTTCAGAAATATTTGCTAGGGACAAATACATTTGTATCACCATGAATTACTGCAAACAAATGTAATGTTTTTATCTGATTTGAAGGATATGCAGAAATGTATGTGCGCCGAACTTAAATGCTGAATAGGAACAGATATCACGGGAAGGATCACGTGACTTTGTATAGTAATACCCTCGAGAAAATGGTGACTGCTGAGCCCCGGTAAGTACCTTATTATGTTGAATTAAGGTGACAAACGCTTCTTAAATCAAAACAAACCGCATGGTCCTACGTTTTGTGGTTTTTCTATTATAACGTACATTTTAATACATGTACATATAATAAAGATGTACTATATAACAGCTATGCTTTTGATGACCACCTGAACAAAAATTCATACATCTGTACATCCCATATGTACATGTATCCAACAAAACGCAATAACAGTACAAATGTATTTAATTTTAAATTTATAAGTTATGATCTTGACAAAATGTTTGTAAGAAAAGTAACAAAGAACAATAGCTTAGAAACAAAAAAGTGAAGAGTTATTATAATACTTGTACGTTGTACTCCTCCTCAGTGAGATATAAAGTATAAAGTTGATATTTCAAACATTTTCGAGATATTGTCCGGACAAAAATTAAGCATTAAAAAATCAACAACAACATAACAATATGCTCCTGAACAAAAAATGTAAAAGAAAACAACAAACGGAAATTATAAAAGACTATGATTGGAAGAGTTCTCACTGTTATGCACTGCACTCCTAATTAATATAGAGATCAAACGACCTAACAAATTTTAATTTTATATCCGAAATACTTATACTTACGATCTGGTAAAAAATAAGCCTACAAAATTATAAAGGACCTATTTAAAATTATGATGGCAATTATTCGTGTGCACTACATATTTCCTTATTGACATTTATCTATCTTTGAAGTTTCAAGTAAATATCTCATATACTTTTTATGTTATGCTTCTGACAAAATTAACCTTAAAAAATCAATTCATATTTAATCATAAAAAATTCAAGGGCAATTACTATGCATGGCAGGGTTTTCATTCTTGCGCACTTCACTAGTCCTGAATGAGATCTATCTACATAAGAAGGTTCAAGCTTATTACACATTTGTTTGACAAAAAGACGAAGGACGTACTGAGTCTTTCAGCATATCCCACGCAGTCTTTTCGACTGGTGAGGGAGCTGGATAATGTATACGCGTTATGAAATGAAACATATAAAGTTAAAATAGAAGAAATGTAAAATTTGATATTTCTAACTATAGAAATAATTTATTTGTCTTTGGTGAAACACGTTTCATTTTAAAAGACTCAATTTAAATATGGCTCTATTTTCATGAACAAACAATTAAAGAACCGATAAGCACCACAATTATGTTTAAACCTCTTATTGAATCTCTGCCATATCAATGCCACACGGGTATCGAAATGATAATGCAAAGACTAAATATATAAACTTTATTAAATTTTGATTTATCATCTGAATCGATCCGGTGTTATCAAAAAGTCTGTTTATGTCAGCTCAGCTCGAAACTCTATGTACATGCCTCGTGATAAGACTATTTCACCAAACTTGATTAGTTACTTCACGGTGCAGGTCGTCAAATGTGATATCAGTTAAAATTAAAAACACATAATGCAGTTGGATATTTTCATTCAAAAATGAAAGTGGTGGTTCTTTTCAGGTAGGACCATTTTATTTATATATCATTATATATAGAAATTTAAAATTGAACAACAATATTTATATATACATTTTCATCTAGTTCGGCTGTTCCGACTTCTCCTTATTCCGAAGAACGCCACATGATTGGACGGTTAGGGGTCTTAGTTTGAGTCTGCTTGTATAAGTGTATCCGTTAAAACGCTCTGGTATGTTGCCTTTAAGCTAAAATATTCATTTACGACTTTATGTCAACAAAATACCATAGTAAGTATTCCCACAGACACACATATACCAACTGATAAACAGTGCCACCATACGGGGCTCTGCACATTTAATCCTATATCTCATAGAAACAAGTCAGAATTGGCGATATATTTGAGCTTAAATGACCATAAAACCAGAGAGCAGACGCACTACCTAAGTACCAAGACCAGTGGTAACATTTCAACTTCTTGAATTTCCGGGCTCATCTTCACGAATTCCCGATTTCAACATCATGATTTCATGATTTTATTCCGGTTATTCTGGCTAGCCTGAGTAGCCGAAGATCGAAGTGATAAATAATTGGAAATAACGTTATGGAATAAAACAACATTTGATCTTTTGCACAAGTTTTACTTTATCATCTCTGGCTTGCCGGATAAGCCGGACTTGACATAAACAAAGTTCCGGCTGCTCCTTTTGTTCCGGCTGTCTGGCAGAAACATCAAGTTTAATCAAATATATTTGAAATATTTGGAATATTATAAGAATGATATAAAAAAGACATTGTTAACACATTTTCGGTGTAACAAAATAGGCGATATAATCATTATTTACAGAATATTGACCCCCGGGTCAAACATGTATGGACAGGAATTTTCCCTGAGCGTAGTAAAATACTATGGAAAGACATCATAGTTTACAAATGATGACAAATTGTTTATTTGAAAAGAAAACTGACCATTTGTCATAACATTATGATCCTGAAATTCTACTGAAATCTTAAATAATGAGTCGCTGAAAGTAAAACATCAATAACACCACCAATAACAGCAACCGCAACATACACGCTTCTGCTCCTCACTGAGTCCCGTAAAGAGCTATCTTAATATAAAGCACTACACAGTAAATAGTTCTTGCCGAATATAAAACCTCTAAGAGACTTATTCGTTCGGTGTACACGGATATAGCTTTCCCGAAACTGTATTATTATGAACACATACGTTGTATAGCTTAGAAAAATAAACATGCTATAGAACTATTTAAGAAAACATTAACTCCAAAAAGAAATAAATATCAAATTAGTATAAACTAAACAGTTGCCCTTGGTTAATCTTCATGGTGTTATATTTTATTGTTGTGAATAGCCATTTATAATGTCACAATGATGGTGATGAAAAAGGTGATTTTGACAATTTTGATGATATAATTCATTTTTATATTGATGATGAAAGTTTTAACGACTATGGTAGTCATTAATTGGTGATATCGGGAACGATAACAATTAGTAAAATGTAATAATCTGTAATAACAGTCCAAATCTGTTATTCTTGCATGATGCACATTACGTTTCCACTCAAACTGAAAAGAATGGTAATATCAAGGGCAATTAGTAAAAATTGATGTCCAATAGTCAATTGGCTGGTTGTCCCTTATTGATAAGTGAATTTCTTTAGTGGGCATTCTATACCATGCATATCCATTCAACGTTACATTCCATTCAATGTCACGCCTACATTTTATTTTATTGACAACAGTCGATTGCTTCCTTATTATCGAGAAAAAGAAACTACTGCTGGTTACTTTGTAACAGAAAACGTACTACTGACCTAGCTGAAGTGGTTTGGTTAGTTTTATACGAATTTGTTTTAGTCTGATTGTGTCGGAAGCTTCGAGCTTATTGAAACACTTTAGAATCGTCCCGGGAACAAACCAGTATTAAGTAATGGTAGTGTCGTTCCTTACTCCTGGACAGTGTTTGAACTCACGAGCCCAGCAATCATTATTTTACGAATCCGACTTGTTTAACCACTCGGCCTCGCAACCACTTAACCACGGGCAAATATTTACAGTTGCCAAACAATACTCCTACTATATTTCTCCTGTAATATAAACTCATAATTCTCAACCACAGCCGCGGTTTAGTCCGAAAAATATCCCAACCCATTGCATTATAGTTCAAAATGATCTAATATTATCATCACATAAGATAACATAAGCCTATAACAATTAATGCATTCTACAAATTACATTTAATTAAACTGTAATGAGAGAAAAACAGTCGAAATGACAAGATGATGATCCATCGTTTATATTGCGATACCAAAGATACAATTGCACGTTAGCGAAACAGAATCTATTGTTATATGTGTTATTCATAAACGTGCAAATGTCTCTTGGATCAGTTTGACAAGTTAGAAATAAAAGACGTTTCTGCTTGTGCAATAGTTATATCCTTATGGCACAACAATCACAGCTTGTTGTTCCAATATGTAAATTCATATATTCTCAATAACGTCATGTAAACAAGAAATAACGCATCCGAATGATAAATATATTCAAATGGGTTCGAGCCGTTATCGGTTCACGACCGTGTTTCTTCATTTGACACCAGTACTGGTTGGTTCGAAGAAGCGTACTCGAAAGTGATTAATATAAGGTGCAAGAACTTGTTCCGCAATCGAGCTTAAATATATATGTTTAAACCAAAATATGTTCAAACAGAAAGCGACAAATACTTATTAAGGCATTGGTCAAATTATCTTAGTATTTTGACTGTAATAAGGGTGCGTTCTATATCTAGTATTTTACAACCTTCGTAAACTTTCCGATATTCTACTGACAATGAACTGTTAGGCTATTCAGTTTATTTACCAATGTAACACTGTTTGTTTCATCTGTGTATTTTTGCAATAAGCATTGCCTTACTATTTAGAAGGTTACTCTTAAGTATTTTATGAGGAATACCGACATTTTATTTATATATTTTGCAGGACCCTTCTGTAACAAGTATTGACATTTCTTGTCACAAAACAAACATGGGAAACTGATTATATTTAAACTGTAATGTACATTTTAAATTTTGATGTCATCTTTTTCTTTCGGTAAATCCACCATATTGCTTATTTTTGCAACAACATTGCTTATTTAGACAACAAAGTTAGATTGTTGTTTATGCATGGCCACAACAATTTTAAGTACACAATAAAATTAGAATCAAAGTGCTGCATTTACAAGAATACCGCATTTATATAAATATTGATATTTATTAGATGCTATCATTAAGTCAACTGCCAACATTTCGTTATTTACTAATTATGTCTACGTCATTGCTTATTGGTACGAATGATCTACACGTATAATCAATTACTTTATAACATACAAACTAGATTAAGATCGCTTCATATCACTCCACATGATGATTTCTTGGTTGATAAAGTTCTAAATTTAGATAATTTTATCTGTATCAACGCAATATCATAAAAATGAGTAGGACAATTTGCTTTATTTAGTACCCCTTCCAATGTCCACAAGGTCAAAAGCCCTGGAAATGTTATAACAAGTGATGTCGTCAGTAACATGTTTTATTTAAATTATCAATAATAAGATCTTGATACATGCCAACGAACTTAGCTCTTGTCACATAAATATTTAGTGACAAATAATATGTCACAGCTTTCGCTTAAGAGTACACATCCACAAACATGTCATCAATTGTTCCCTAAAAATAATTTTGGTGATTATTAACCTCTATGATATTGTCACATGGTATATATACTCACTGAAAACAACAACAAAAACGGTTTTAAATGATAAAAGTTCAAAATAACAAATAAAACTATAAATGATATTATACAAGAAATTCAAAAGCACAAAATATTTTGCCAAAAAATAGTCAAAAATCAAAATGCTTTGCTTGCAAATAATTTTCTTTTTTCATTATTCCATTTACATTTTAACATCAATTCTTACAAAGATATCCATCTAATGTTTATCATTTGTATAAAACTGATAATGTTACTTTTACAAAGTGATGATACATGCTAAAATTTTATGCCCTGCATGTTGTAGATTGGAGGAAAAGACTTTTAAAGCATGTGTACTATATCAATCTGGGTAAATGTAAACTGTGTGAGACCTAACCACCAAATCAACCTATTGGGCAAAACCTATTTCAATATCAGTCAACAATTGTAGGGTTCTTCTATGTAGTTATACATGTCAAATAACTAAGATCTAGGCATTGTAACTTCACATTAAAATACATACGTGAAATTAATTTTCTCTATCTATGTGACCCATGCGACAGGGCCAATGTTGACCCCAAGGAGCATGATTTATATAAATTTTGTAGGTGCCGAAGAGGAATGCTTCATGCAAAATATATATCCAACATGTATAATATTTGGGGGGGGGTATCAAAATGTTTTCTGATTACCAAACTTTGTTAAAGTTTTTAAAATTCAGCAATTCAAATGTAGTGGTAGGCATAGGCTAAATTTCATGCAACGTATTGGTATTTATACCTTAAAAGGTTTAGTTTGTTTTAATGTATAATAAAACAGGTATAGCCACTTTACATCAGCCCTTCTACTCATATCAGTCTTTAAATAAGAGGAAAACTGCGCCCACAAAATGACAAAGCAGAGGATAGAATTGTAAATTAACAGCTTGGATTACGTACTCTAGGCATCATCTTTGTCCAAAGTATTGATCAATTGCCTTGAAAAATTTACATTTTATATTAATCATTTACAACTTATTGTTACTTAGTATATTTACATATTTTAACTGATATCAGTTTCTATTAATAAGTTTGTCTTATTTCAAAACGATAAAATAATAATAAACCTATAATTTCCTCAATTATAATAATCTTAACAAAAAATAAAATATACGGTTTGATAAAAAAAAGACACAAAAGTTTGATATTGATACAAAATGACTAAGTGTAACGTTGACATTGGCCTCAATAATGTAAAACCTGCCCTCTGTACATTATGGTTAACACTACTTCAAAGTTGTTTCAATTTCCTTCCACTGGTTCAAAAGCTACAGAGCGGACACGCAAATTCCGATATAAGTCTATATATGTCAATTAACTCAAATTTTAATCTTAGGAAGTCAGAATTTGTGTTCTGCACACCGTCACAATATAAGTGCTGTATTTTGCAAAACATCTTTCCATTGGTTCAAAAGATACAGAGCGGGCACAAATTTGAAATGTATACAATATGTGAGTGTGACCTTGACCTGAGGCAGGTCAAATCTGCGCCCTGCACATAGTCTCATTATGACTAACATTTTTGCCAAGAAGTTTCAAGTTTATTCTACCGGTTCAAAAGATACAGACCGGACATGAAAACCTGCTAACAGACGGACGGACAACCTGGTGCATAATAATATACGCCAAATTTATTCGGGCGTATAAAAAGGGAACTATGAGAGTCGTGCTCATTTAATATACACAGTCTACTGAGCCTGTGCGAATGAAAATTAATTACTTGTTTGGCGTCTGATACACTGGTCATTGCAAACAACTGTGATGTATTGTGTAAAATAAGTAGTTTAAGCTCAAGTGCTTCAACTTGATATTGATCTACTTAAGTTCTAAAATTTAACGTTGTCTTTTACAGATCTGATGTCATTATAATAAACTGACATGAAATGTAATGTCTTGTCATGGCTGCTTCCCAACCTGGTACATCATCTTCGGCACAGATAGCTGATAATCGTATCTTCCTATTCCGCCTACAAATGCTAATTATAGATGGCGGGCTTACAAGTTTAAGAAATTATGTAGATCAGGAACTTGCAGCCCAATCAACAACACTCAGTGCAAGTCTTGCCAAAGAAAAGACAACAATCAAATCACTAAAGGGTCGAAAGATAATAACACAGGTGCAATATGATTTATTGTATCCATCACAAGGCTCTGTTTCAACGTCTGATTTGGACATCACACTTATCATTTGTCTCATGAGAAACCTGAAATGTTTCAAGTTAAATACAAATTTTAATTGGAACATTTCACCAGCACAAAGTGATAATTCCATCGAGGCAGACATTTGTAGACTGAAGAACCACAGGAACGAGGTAAGTTATAATATCACACTTCTTGATTCAATTTAGTATATTTAATAAAAAAAGTTATTATATTTATTTCAGCATAAGACAAGTGTTTTGAAAATTACTTTTAATATCTTCAGATTTGTCATATATCGACCACTACAGGCGTACAACATAATGGCTTTATAAACAAGTGGAATGAAATCGAACAGGTATAAAGATAAATTATATCTTGTTACTATATATACATATTGAGTAACTAGAAATGGCACCAAAGATAAATTCAATATTTTCCACGTATAACAATGTAGGTTGGTTATTTCATACCATGCAAAATAATGAAAATCTGAATATCCTTTGTAAAGAAACCATGTAAAGCAATTTAAGCCTAAAACAAGCATAATTTGTTTACATCTGATAAGTTATTTATGCTTATTTATTAACATTTAATATTTCGTTACAATTATTGCTTATACTTTTTCAACGAACACATGGAATCATTACCTTGCGACATTCATTATAATTAATAATTTGCTTGTATTTAGACTCGAAATAAAAATAAGAGAATACGGTACTTTTGTTTGAGTTAATATATGCCATCTATCTTTACATATCTATGCGAATTATTTCTTAAGTATTCATATATCACGCTTATATTCTAGATCCTTCTGAGAATTGATACTGTGTACCCAATCAAAGACTTTCAGCAGACAATTACTGATTTTCAATTCTGTACTCTTGATCCCAGTACAGAAAAGAGGGTAACAGATGAAATTGAAAAATGGAACAAATTTGACAAATCAGTAGAAACAGATTTAGAACAGTTGAAAACAGGTCAAAAAGAAATGAAACAAACTATTGAGACGCTAGCCATAGAACAAGCTGAAACAAGAAAACGTACTTCGGACAACAAAGAAGAATTGAAAACGGTTAATGTCAAAATAGCTAAAATAGAACAACAATTGCCAGAAGCAGACAACTATCAGCAGCGCAAAATAGGTAAGAAATACAATGCTCCTGTGATTTTTGAGGTTAGAGTGCGTGTATGCGTGCATGCGTATATGCTTTTTGTTCCTTTCTTTCTTAGTTTTAAATGCTTAAATCATAAAATGCCCAGCCGGACGCATTTCTATATATATACTTCGTCTTCTCACACATTTTATTAAAGTTCAATTCTAGACAATCATTTCACACACGCATTCACTCAAGCAGTTTAAATAACATTGGAATATTAAAATACATCAACTCATTTTTACTTGACTTGGTTTTTCGATTTTTAACTTAACTTTGTCTATTTATGTGTAACTAAAACGTGTCATTAACTCATTAACGAATAAAATGTGGGTGCCAATACTGTGTACAAACAAATCTTAAAATCTCCGGTATTTAAACACAAAATCTTGCTTTTCTTTCTTTGCGGAGTTCGACTCCGTGAACGAATGACACTATGGATGGTATTTTACACTAGTCTAGATTGTAACTTTGTTCATATAGATGGCAACATAAGATACACAGTTGCATTAATATTTGACTAGAAAATACAATGTCCAGAACTGCAATATTTTACATTTAAGCAGATTTCCACAAAAGGCATTAATACCATACACTTAAGTTCAATTGACCTTTTCATAAAATCTTAATGATTTCTATGTTAAATCATTATCCACCCGTTCGTAAAGGCTTTTGATGTCGAAAAGGGTCATGCCACCAGTCAGGCCCTTGAAGTTTTAATTTTGTAACTTAAGTGCCGGAGTCAATGATCCCGAAGGACCAGAAAAATTTGACAACAATTAAATGGGGCACAAGGGCAACTTTTGACGGCTGTCAAATGGCACTATGCCCCTGCTATTACGATGTTTGAGTTTCAAATGAATACCTCCGATGATTGTCGATCACAAAACTCAAACCATAAGTTTTCTTATTTTACAAAGGTATATGATTTAGTCAAAATCAATGCCTTAGTTATGAGCCTTGCATATTGACCTGCATTAACTTTCATCAACCTTCAGTGATAAAGGATATCGAACTAGGGTACTCAGAACATTGTAATACGAAAGCTTTAGTTCCCAGAGGGGAATATGGGTCAGTAAAAATCATGCTAGAGGACAGTGACCTACAATTATGATAACTACATTTGTGCATTTCATGTGAATACATTCAGTGGAAAATGTTGCATCCATTACCATAACAACATTGTGCCCCAATACATATAGGGTAGGATTCCCCTCTACATTTGTACTTCAAATCATTAACCTAGCTGCTGCTATAAATTCCTCAAAAAACATTTATTGAACACTGAGTAATTAGTTTCTTCTTGCTGACCTAATAATTATAGCCCACTATTAGCTGGAGAATACTAGCCATAGATTAGTTGCATGTGCAGTTTCACAAGGAACACAGTAATTTGCATCCTTATACATCTTCATTTTTCTTTTATATGCCCCAAAATAACAATATCCATAATAAGAAACAATAAAGGATAGAAATATATATTTGACTTTGTAGTTTTTCGTTTTGTCATACGTGTTTGTATATTAAAGAGACCGACGTTATAAGGCTTTAAGTATGATGTCATTAGACATTTTTGTTTTAATTCTAAAATTCTCATGGTCATCAATTCATCCATTTTTGAATGGCTCAATAAATCATGAATATTTAAAACACAATAATAGTGCATGCTCACATGATTTTATAGGTAAATACATTGAATGCATGTCTTCTTCTCCCTAAGTGTACTGCTGTGGCACAGTTTTTATTTAAGACTATAGTTTGATGCCACTGAAGTAAATAACGCCTCAAAATATTAACAAGGAAACAATTTTTTTGAAAAACATCTTTGTTGGCATTTCATAAGAAATATTGAAGAAAGAACTTTAATGAGTGTTTCATAAATAAATATGATAGTCTTAACATTTAGTAGGATACGGATATAAAATAATCTTTGAAAAAAATTAATCATCACCTGTTAACATTATTCGTTTGTTGTATTTTTACAATAGGCAAAATTAATCTAACAGAGATGAAAAAATAACAACAATAGTAAAATATGTCATTGGTATTAATTTGTTTATTTTGGGCATGACCCTTTTCTAGGAACGTGCTAGTAACTGAATGGATTTGAAATATTGTATGGCATTATCAAAGCATGGAGGCAAAGATCCTTTTTGTTTTGCTTTGGCAGCAACAACAACTTATCTCTTAATCCATCTTTTCCAATAAAGGTTTTATTCCAAACTTAATGTATACCATATTGATGACGTACACAGTAACTATCATAGAAGGTAGGGATTTTACTGTGGCCACATTGTCATGAATATTAAATGATACGCCCATGTTATCCAAATCTAGATATTAATAATTTGATTATTATGATATATCATAATACGTTCCGGTTTTTAAATGTGAATTAATAAAATATCTATTTGATTTTTAAAATGTTTGAATCAAGTAACAATATTGAACAGATTTGAAGGTAGATGATGTCCGTTTTTTATATACAAGTACTTAATTATTTAGAAAGTAATAGTTAAAAAATCGTGTTGATCATGTCACAGTTTGTATGTATAATTAGATGAAAACATTAAACCTGTCACACAAAAAAAACAACAAGAAGGTTGCACCAAACTTTTCGAAGTTTCTTGTCTTTCGGAAATCCAAAAAAATTCACCTTTTCTCGACCTGAGAGAGAATTACAGCCACAGGCAGCACACAAAACCATAACTAATCCACATGTAAATATCCAACAACATGAAAATACACAATAAACAAAAATCCGAAGAATGTAATGCCCGAAAAACAAAATTAACTAATCATGTATACATGTAATGGCGGACTGACATTTCACCAATGACGTCACAGCGTAGTTTAAACAAGGGAGGTAAGCCACTTAACGAAAAAATAAAAAGACGAATAAAAGTCATAAAATCTACCGTTTTCCGGCTCAATATAATAATCAGACAATATTTAACTTATAATATTACCAATTTCTTGTGGAAATAACGTTTAACCGATAAATTCTGGCTTTTCTTTAAATTTGACCTTTAAGTATTTCTCAAGTCTTTTTGAAATAGAACAAAGATTGTTATTGAAATACATCGTCGAATACATGTTAATCAAGCATGAGTATACGACGATGATTGAATGTTTTATCAATGTGAAGCAATTCCTCAAAGTAAAACTGCATTTTAAGTTTAAAGGTAAACAAACAATGCACAGGATAAAGACTATAAGATTCTAGCATCTGTGTTAACTGTAGATAATCCTGTCTGATATGTAAGAAATGATCTGAGTCACAACAGTTTTCCATTACAATTTTAAAATTGTACATTAAACTGCAGCATGGAAAACTGTATGCAACTCAAGTTACGATAATTTAACATTTCATAAAATATTAGCAAAGAGTTACGATGCCTTTGCAACTATCATGTTTTGTTTGTTTCATTATACGCCTTTTCCCAACAGTATTTCAGTCATACAGGCGGGTAGTTGCCTAACCATCCTTCCTGAAGAGTAACACCAGTACAAAATTCCGCGCTAAACTACCAAAGCATCTCCATGTAAGAGTGACTTATAATGAAAATATGTTGCTTATATTTTTTGTATAGATGTATTAGGGGTTATGATTGTTAAAAACACAAAATAGTATTGTTTGACAAAAACACTTTACCATTCAGTTCTCGAATTGAAAATATTCGGTTTTGTTAGTAACAAGCTCCTGTTGATACAGATTGGAAGCCATCTAAACTCACTATGGACGGAATACAAGAATTAGTTAGACTATTGAATTGATTTTCCCATAGTCTAATATTTCAAGAAATGACCCTTAAATGATAATGGTATGCCTGACATATTAAAATGATCAAGTTATAATGGGATGACCGACCTTATGTTTCGCAAAATGTCCCCAAAGATTATACCCCCTCCCTCCGCCCCCATTCACACTTAAATTTCCTTAAATCACTTAAATCTCTTAAGGATAAGAAAGTCAATGTCACCATACATCATGTTTAAAATGTAACTAAATTAGAGAAATGCTTATATAATGCTGCTGATAATTATGATGTTGTTCTGACAATGATGCTGTTGCTGCTGATAATAGTGCTGCTGATGATGATAATCATGCTGCAGATAATGATACTCTACTTATGCTTATGATATTATGAAAATGCTTCAATTGTCGTTTGGAAACCAAGATTGTAATCTGTTTTGTTATTGTAACGGATGGTCCCGTAACATATGCTTATATTAAGCGGACACTCACGGATACCTCCCAGACAATTCAACTGCATATGGTTCTCGTGCATTTTTGTGAACTAATTTTAAAGGTACAGTTTTTTTTTCAATCTCCTAACAACAACTTAAAATTAATCCTCTTCCGAGTTTAAAGTGGCTGTTTTAAGCTATATAAATGTTGGCTTTAGTTTTTTTGTTTGTTTTTGTTTTTTAATGAATCTAATATACTTGTTAGAAATAAATATGCTTAAATTTTCCTTAGAATGACTAGAGCCTGCACGAAATCATTGCTAAACGGTAAAAACATTACAAACTTTTCTTAATTCTAATTAACTCTAAATGTTTAGCTCATATTTAGTATATGTTGAAGGGAATCGGACTTTTGAACGATTATTGATAGAATTTCAAGCCTCTGTGGTCAAAATCGGTCTCTGCATTGTTGCGTTAATGCCATTGCCTTTTAACTTGTTTTCGCGCCATTTAAGTGTATTTTCGCGCCATATGATTTAAAAGTCTTTAAATATACCTATTGACATATGTCAGAGCATGTGTTTGAAATAGCTATCAAATTGTGTTGGTTTCACAGTTCACTTATTACATAAGCAGGAAACTCCAGACGAGAGCTGTAAACAAGGAATGTGACGCTTCTTTCAATTAATCAAAGGGCTGCAAGCTCTGTGGTATTTTCTGATCTTTGCAATCTAAATCGTACTGTATACCTGTATTTTCCAGTATAAGTATATTTTTATGTACAATAATATATCTTACAGGGCACCAGAGTTTGATACATACGAAATTTTGCATAACTGGAGTTGCATCAAAAAATCATTTATGTTCATTTTTTATGACAGTCACACTTCATCCTTGGATATCGTGGTTATTTTCTTTACAAAGAAACTTAAGAAAAAAATAACAAAAAATAGTTGCCTCGACTGGGATTTGAACCCAAGACATCTCACACTCTAAACCAGCGCGTTACCCCTTCATCACGAGAAAGTTATACGAAAAAGCCTGAAAAAAATCATGTAATTATAAATTTAGAATTTCCATTGCATTTCGGGTTTGTAATCCTTTTTAATTTCGAGGTATTTTGCTCACGATAAACCTGTTGTTTAAAATTGATGTAAATAATTTTGCGAAAATATTCTCGCCAAAACAGTCCGACATGAAGAATCTATATACATGTATTCCACTACTCGACAGTCAAATTTTTTTTGTGTAGTATTCGGTAATCGATATCGCTAAAAATAGCATTTTCATTGATTAAAATCATATTCATCCGCATAATTTGTGAGTGTGCATTCATTGACAATTCTATAAGCCAACGCTACTTTTAAGCTTTGAATGCGTTGTAATTTGTTGGATACTTGTAAATAAAAATATTTCTTTCTTTAAAATCGCTAGTTTTAAGCTGTTTTAAGAACTACTTGTTGTTGTTTGTCGTTAACCGATTGAATGTCAGCTTTTCGATCAGAAAATACAAAAAAAAATAGTTTGGTAAGAATTTGTTTTGTTTCTTTGTCTGCATTATTTATGATTAAACCACTGCATGAATAAAAATATTTATTTTTCATTTAATCTGATCACCGGAGAAAAGACGGGCATATGTATCGGTAAATTATAATTCGGATGTAAACAATGCATAGATCCTTGACCTATCTAATTCTTACTGTGCCACTATGATAATGTGAGATTGACGTTTCATTTTTTGTGTACACAAAGGTTTACAACCTTTGTCTGTATAGGTAAAACAGGATTTTTAGAAGCGAATATAAAACAAGATAACAAGAATTATTTGAAATGTCTTGATAGCAAAGGTAGTATAGTCCTTGGGATGCGAATAAACGTGAATTTTATCATGAGTTCGAGCCCCACAAGTTGTTTTACTTTTTCTTTTTTTCTTTCCATATTTTTTATTAATTTACATTAGATGCAAATTAATTGGAATATAAAGGTAGTTTTATATATAATATGTAATCATTCAAATATACTGGTAAATTTGTGGTAATAATGACTTCTAAAACTGTCTAGTGTGTTGTATGTAGTAGTCATAGTACTTACACAGTGCACGAGTATTTCGTGTCAAATGAACTATAGTTGAAACATTTTTTGAATATTTATGAATTCCGTTCAGTATTCAGTATAAGGTTGCACTAACTTAACTTGCTAGATATGGCTTCATTGAATTCTGGTCGTAATTACCAGAATTACGACGAATTGTCTAAGAAAATTCTGCATCATGTTATAAAGGCATGTTGTGTGTTTATATACTCTTTTGTTGGTTTTCCATAGTTAGCCTAAATCGTTGATATTCATTCATATGTTTCCATATTTCAGGTCTGTAAAGATGAAAAGCAGTCTGGTGCATTACAGATTCCATTGTCATCACCCATGGAAAGGGCTGCAAACTTGACCGGTGTCTCACAGGCCACGTTATATCGCATACAAAAGATGATGAGCAAGCCGGCTGCTCAAAGGAAGGTTAGGAAAGACAAAGTCATCTTGGATGATTTTGATCTTGGTGTGGTTCGACGGACAATGCAAGAAATGTTTATGCAACAGAAACGCATCCCAAACATTAAGACCCTTCAAGAAGCCTTACACAAGAAAATCGGCTACAAGGGCGGCAAAGAGAGTCTAAGAAAGACCTTGCATCAACTCGGTTTTGTATGGAGAAAAACACAGTCAAACAGAAGTGCACTTATTGAGCGTTCAGATATAGTTGCAGCCAGAGTTCACTTCCTGAGACAATAAAAAAGTAAAAGTACAGGGATGAAGGCAAAAGCATTGACTATACAGACGAGACATTCCTTCACACTTCCCATACGGTTGCAAAATCCTGGCAGTCAACTTTTGTTGGACTTAAATCGCCGTTGAATAAAGGGGATCGTTTAATTGTGGTACACGCCGGAAACGAAAATGGCTTTATTGAAGGAGCATCACTGGTGTTTAAATCGAAGTCATCTACCGGAGATTATCACAGTGAAATGAACGGCGAAAATTTCCTAAAGTGGGTCAGAGAAAAACTTGTTCCAAATTTGCCAGCAAGGTCAGTCTTGATAGTGGACAACGCTCCGTACCATAATCTTGAAACCGACAAGTGTCCTACTCAAGCCAACCGTAAAGCCGAAATTCAAGACTGGTTACGTCGTCATGGTATTGTTTTTGAAGATAACATGTTGAAGGCCCAGCTACTGCAGCTATGTAAGAGTAACAGACCAGCGCCCCGGTATGTACTTGACAGCCTGTTGAAAGATCATGGCCATGAAGGTTTACGACTTCCAGCATATCATGCTGATCTTAATGCCATAGAGCTTGTGTGGGCAGGTGTGAAGGGATCTGTTGCGCGACAAAATACAACCTTCAACATGACGGCGCTGCTTCAGAAAACAGAAGAGGCTTTATCATCCATCACAGTTGACTTTTGGCACAACTGTATTTCACATGTTCAAAAAATAGAAAAACAGTACTGGGAGCTAGACATCGCAGTTGATGCCGAAATAGAAAAGATTGTAATAGAATTGCACTCTAGTGACGAGGAAACAGACACATCGGAGGAGGGTGAGGACGTGTTGACGGACTCGGAATCATCGGAATGAAGTTAATGTATTGTTTTTCAAAATATTGAACTGAATTGAAAATAATTGTTAGGAAATAAATAGATAAGTTATATATATATAAATATAACATTGAAATATATAAAAAAATAAAAAAAGAAGAAAAGAAGGAAAGAAAGAAAAAATATTGAAATAAGAAAATAACACAACTCTTATAATCTTTACAAAAAAAATATTTGCGAAAAGAAAAACAATCAAAGTCTGACTGTCTTGCATTGATATTTAACTAGAAAATTAACAGACGATATCCTTACCTACTGCGTTACGCTGACAGTTGATAAATTTGTCGATATTTTAATTTATATCGTTACTTTGCTTCCCTACAGATAACAAATACAGTGTAAGTCCACTTTTACACCGTAATAGTGGACTTGACCGACGCGTCACTAAATAATTATCCTAAACGGACAGTATTCACCACAACCTATTTGTTAACAAAAGCGCACCTATTGTTATTCAAATAAAAGGTCAGAGATGGTATCTATCAATTGGGTGACAATTGGAGTACAGCGGGTAAATACCATTTTCTTTTTACATAATCGTAATTGAGCATTTGCGCAAAATCTACGGAGAATTACCTGAAGCGGATATTTTACCACCAGAATGTTCTGGAACCGCGGAACAGCCATATACTAATAAAACAGTCACTACTATAGTGTTTTTTGCTGCTATATATACATGCAGTAGTTTAAAGAAGACATGAACAAAATAGTTCAATTAATTATTTATGTTCAGATAGCAGTTTGCCTATATGAATAATCCTATTACAAGTAGCATTGTTTAGTGTTTCTTAAAGGACCATCATGACTCAGAAATGAATAGTTTTCCTTTTGAGTTCTATGTTATCGTTAAAAATAAAATGGGTTTAAAGAATGTTAAATGTTTCTCATCTGAGCAAAGTACTTGTGCTGTAAGAGAAATTATTTGTCATAAAAGTAGAAAAAATTAAACAAAGTAGTATATTGACTTCCATACAAAATACTAATTCACTATAACTGTACCCATTGCTAAAATGCAACAGAAGGGAAATATGTCTCAGTCATATTGCCAATTAATAACATTTTCGAAACTGTAACAGGACACCAAAAGCATTTCTGAGGCTTAATGGGCCTTTAAGAAAATGTTACATAATTATGCCCCTAAACAATCACAGGCATGTTATTATCATTATTACTATATAGCGCTGCTGCATACCCTACCGGTGTTTTTTATTTGACCTTGTTGACGGTATATCTGACTGTAATTTTAAAATTAATCTGACACTGATATATATTTTTTTAGTTATTGCCCTTTGTTAGTTTTCATACTATTTTGTCCGGAGCTTATCTCAAAAAATCAACTTGAAACTTCATAGGTGGATAGATTTTACTGAGGAGGGGTGCAGCACACAAGAATGATAACCTACCCTGCATTATTTTTCAGTTATTGCCCTTAGTTATTTTCAGCCATCAGTATTCACATAGGTTTCAAATCTGTAATCACTACAGTTTTCATTACCAAAAGACCTCTTAAAATTGAATTATTCTGCTCTACTACATATACATTCTTCCAATGAGCAAACACATTCGGCGGGGATGGCCATGTTGACATGGCTCTTGTTTTCTTTCTTTCTTTGTGTGTGTTTTAATCCGTGTGACAGTGAGATTAAATGTATTATCAATATAATTTCTATTTTTTTATATTATTTACACTGATGATTATTGCCTAGTTATATTGCAATACTTATTTTATGTTAAGCTTAATATTCAAAGATGATTTGTATTTGATAAGAAATAAGAACTTTATAATATATAATATATAATCTTTTATTTGATTAAATTCAAATTCTGTAGTAAAAAATATACGTTTTTTTCTATATTTCAGAGCTACAGCGTGACTTGATTACATTCTACAGAGAAAGACACAGTCAAGTTTTCCTGTCGCCTCTTTTTGAAGAGAAAGACACTCCGTTGGCTTCTTTCTATATCAGACCGGAACTGAACTCATTAGTATCAACACCGGCGATAAAGGACGGAACACAGGCGAGACATGAGGCAAAATTACCAGTTAAATCATTATCAGAGATTTTTAAAACTGAAAAAAAGAAAAATCGAGAAATTTATGTATTCGCTAATGCTGGACTTGGAAAAACTGCATTTTCAAAGTATCTGGCAAACGTGTGGTGCCAAGCTCATTGCCCAGACGAAGACTTAAATGATATTTTGTCAAAGGGTGATATTGACTGTATGCAAGAATTTAATTTCTTATTTCTGGTCATATTGCGAGATGCGGGGAATCTATGCTGTATAGATGAGCTCATATTTGAAAAGATTGTTTCAGAATTGGGTGTGGAAGAACCGCTTTCAATAGGTGACCTCTGTAAAATTTTGAAAAATGAGAAGTGCCTAGTTATACTTGATGGACTAGATGAATGGACACACCCCGATAATGAATGTAAGAGGCCACCGCCACGATCGATCCCTCATAGGAAGGTCCGAGAAAAGTGTACAATGCTGACAACCACTCGACCATGGAAATTTGGAGTTTTGGATGTCAATTCGAGTCAATTAGGTAAAAAGATAGAACTTACAGAACTAAATTACGAGTCGGCAGTTACACTTACAGAGAGGATATTAAAAAGATTGAAATCTCACCCGAACAATCATGCATTACAATTGGATGTCTATGAGTTCATTTCAGGGATCAAAAGCAGAGAAAACGATGAACTTATTTCTGTGCCCCTGCTTTTGATATATGCAATTTGTTTATGGTGTGACGGTGTTCAAATAGGAAATTCAAAATTTGATCTCTATATAAATATAGTCGAGTTTCTCTTATCAAGAACGATTCAGAAGCACGGAGAACTTCAAATATCGCAGGAAACGCCTGTCAGTGACATCTCAGAATGCCTTGCTAAATATGAAAACTGTAAAAAATATTTCAAACTCCTGATGCTTTTAGGAAAATTATCTTATTATACATTGTTCAATGAAACAAGGGAAAACACGCTGGTTTTTGATGGATCAGTCGCCGAAAAACACCTCACACCAGACGAGATGAAATTCACCCTTCACTCAGGAATGTTGTCAGAAAGTACATCTAAAACACTAACAAAAAAGTTTAGTAAAGTTTCGTTTTCCCACAAAACAGTTCAGGAATTCTTTGCTGCCATATTTATAAGCTCTGAAAATGATGCTATGAAAACTGTTTTAGAAAAATGTAGAAATATTTATGACATTCTAGACATGTCAATAATTTGTGAATTTATAAGTGCAATGAATGCTGACCGGATGTGTGCAATATCAAATGATTTGATGTCTGTGATAAATGATGACGAGAAAACACGCAAGTATAGAACTAGAACAGATAACTGGGCCTCATTGTCTAACGTACAGGACATGTTCATGTCGTGTTTACAAGAAATGCCTGAAAGTAAAAATATTCAATTATGTTTACAAGATTTCTTCATTATGGCGAACAGCGTGTACAATAATCAGTTAGAGCGTTTGATAAAACAAAATAAAACCAACATGAAATCACTTTATATAGACCTCGACAATACTTGCTTCAGTTTACCTGAAATTATAGATTTATTCTCTCTCACAGATTTCAGTCATATACAGAAACTTTACTATAGTGGTGACTTGAATGAGTGGGAGGATGCTGAGATAACCCGGATATTTGTTCCAAGTTTACAGGCCGTAACTTTGTTGTTTGGTCAATGGGCATATGATGAAGAAAATCTTAGTGAAATTTTTGCGCGATTACAAAACTTACAATATTTATATATTCAAAGCTTCAGATTATCTCACGAAATACTGGAAACAGTTTTCAATTTTATATCCGGACAAAAATCAATGAAAGAGTTAACATTGGTGTTGGTAGACTTTGAAGAACTTGACGACCAGGATGATTGTAAGGGATTTTACTTGGACTTGTCTCAACATTCAACTCTATCAGAGTTACACTTGTCGACGTTACCTGGGAGGCTACAATTAAATATAACAACACCGTCATTAGTTAATGTTACGTTGTCGGAAATCAATCTAGATGAAAGTTCATTGTTACTGTCACGTGACATGTTGAATATTGAACGTGTGCAGTTGAAGAAGATAGAAATGTCTGCAGGAAGTTTACAGAACTTTATTACCGTGCTGAAAAATCTGCCGCAGTCAGTAACAGTAGTGATGGCCTACACTAAACCGGATACAGAATATGAGCGTGTTAGAGAATATATTCGGAGTTCAAAAACTTTTCATGTTATAGAGGACAGCAACAACTACGGGCGGCTGATTGAGTTCAAAACAATGAAACCAAGAATAGAATAAACAAGAAAAACATTATGAAATAAACTGAAGAAATTACTTCAATACTTTGAAATGAAAACAATTAAATAACAGAAACTTAAAATACAAAATGACCGCACTGGCGATTGATGAAACTTCACTGTTTGGTAATTTGTAAATAAACAATACTGTTACTATAATTATCAATTACCATTAATTTAATTACAATTGTTTCTAAATAAAATCATTCAAAAGAAAGAAAAAATTCACCAAATTACATATATATACATATATATATAATGAATCTTTTAAGCAATCAATTACTTCTATCAGTGTTATACCCTGTTATGAGGACTGTATTCCGAATTTACATGCTTAACATAATTCTTAAACACTTTGATACATTTCACTAGTTTTGTAGACTAAAATATTTCACGGAATGTGATGGATATAAAAGTAGGATAAGGAAATGAAAATATTTCACAGGTAAGCGATTTTATTTTTCTGGCAACGTTTTTTTTAGTCCCCTACCGGTTTACCGTAGGGGACTTTAGGTTTACCCTCTGTCCGTCTGTCTGTCCGTCCGTCCGTCCGTCCGTCCACAAAACTGGATCCCGCGATATTGCAAAAAGTACTGAAAATATTTTAATGAAACTTGATATATGGATAGATGGCAGTATGGAGATTATGCACGTCTTTTTCTTTTCTTCCTATGTTGAAAATTCTGGTTGCTATGGCAACAAATAGACTGAAAATATGGCAAATTTAACACATAACCTGGATCCCGCGATACCGCAAAAAGTACTGAAAATATTTTTTATGAAACTTGATATATGGATAGATGGCAGTATGGAGATTATGCACGTCTTTTTCCTTTTTTCTTATGCTGAAAATTCTGGTTGCTATGGCAACAAATAGACTGAAAATATGGCAAATTTTACACATAACCTGGATCCAAAAATTACTGAAAATATTTTTATGAAACTTGACATATTGGTAGATGGCAGTATGGAAATTATGCACATTCTTTTCTTATCTTCCTGTATTGAAAATTCTGGTTGCTATGGCAACAAATAGACTGAATTTCAAGATTTCTGATTCTAGTTTTTCAGTTTTTTCACTATAAGTTCTTTATTTCTTAAGGTATTTTCTTCAAACTTTAAATATAAGTTGTATGTCATCAGCCACATCATATGTGACAAAGTTTACAACTCTAGCACAAAATTTATCAGAATTACCTCCCTGGAACTTAAAATTTTCATGAAAAAACATCTTTTTTTCTGAACGTATCTATTTCAAACTTCATATAAATGTTTCTTATTATCACTCAACATTTGTGAGTGTTAAATACTCTAGCAAGACTATTTCCAGAATTATGCCCCTTGTGAACTTAACTTTTATTTGAGAAATTGGTAATTTTCTTCAATTATGATAGGATTTTCTTCAAACTCCCACATTATAATAATATGACAATAATATGACAAGGTTTATAAATCTAGCATCCATATTTCCAGAATTATCTCCTCCTTAAACTTTTTATTTTTCCTATTCGTTCTTTTAATTTTCATTTACTTCAAATTCAAAGTAAACATTCAATATTCATACCTTCATTACTAATTGTTCTTTGTTACACTCACATCATGTATGACATCGTTATCTCCTTTTTTTTAAATTTTGCTTTTAAAATGTTATATTTTGATAACAGGGATGTTTAAAAAATAACTTTAGAGTGTCCTTCAGTCTGTCTGTCTGTCTGTACATAAAAACTGTTCACTGTGATCACTTAAAATAGAAACATGAGTGAATGGACAATGGCCCTCCAGAATGTTGCTTGGGCTCTTACCGGTAGGGGACTTATGGATTGCTTGCAATACTATGATAATTGCTTGTTATATATTTATTTAACTTTCTTTACACATATGATTATTGAAACATTTTTGTGTTTAAATATAATTTCACTAAATGTAAATTACCTTCCGGCCAATATAATTATGTACATGTATGTACTTTGAAAAGTAAACATTTAAACAAATGAAAAAAATATTTAAAGGTTTTTTTTAGAATTTTATTTAACTCTGTGTTTAACAGATCTACACATCTGGTAAAGACACATGCATTATTCACGCGAACACTTATAATATAATAACAGCTAGCCTTCAACAGTATTAAAAAATTAATATGCTAACATTTTATCATAGTAAAGTGTTAATGCGGTAGTGTTTTTGTTTGTTTTTTTTGTTTTGGGGGAGGGGTGGTAGGGTGTCGGGGGCGGGCTTGTTTCAAATATGTCTGGCATGAGTTTAAAGGTTTATAAATATACATTATGATAATTGTATACAGAAACAGTATAATATTTTGTAGTCTAATCATTGTTTATCTATACTGCACAATTTTTCTTCTTTCAATTTTGCATTCTGTTGCCTCGAATAGTAGAAAATTATGTGTTTATTATATGTTATTTTTAATCTCAAATAAATACGGATAGAATGGTCATTCTCCATTGATAATAATGCATTAATCCAAGGTCATATTACATATTTCAGCGGCCTTGGATCAGAATTTCCGATTCTTTATGATGCAGTTGAACTGTGTGGCATAATTTGAACAACTTCCTCAACAAATGCATGTTTCGTTCATTTCAAGGTAAGACATTTTTCAATTTTATATAGAATTTATCTAAATTGTTTGTTTCAGATAAGAAATTATAAGCATATTGACATAGTACCAAATCCTTTCATGGAATCAACAAAGTAATAAATGTAAAATTTATTGCTGAAGAAAGCTACAGCTTGTCACTGATGAGGTTTGATCTCTAGGATGGCATTCTTGACAATATGCAACAAAAATTTTGCCTAATTTCTCTAATTTACGAAGGGAAGTCGAAGAGGGGCAGATGACTGGGGATGGGTGGATGAATGAACAAATTCATTTCACATATACTATACACTTTTAATATATTTACTTATATTTTATACCAATGTTTGATCTGAAAATAATGTTGTTTTTCAGGATATCAGCTACAATCAAGTAATCTTCAGGAATGATGGCGAATAAACTACGATCTTTTTAAATAATGATTTTACTCCTGTTTCCTGGCTTTACGGAAAAAGAACTACAACACAGAAAACAGTTTGTGATTTCAAACCACCATTACCTTGTAAATTATTCATACATGGAAACAAATATTGTAGACACAATAAACAAACTTTTGCAGTACCTGTTTTCTACAAAAAAGTTACATTTTCAACGGAGGTTATGCCAAGACCGCTGTCAAAAATTTAATAGCTACTTAAGTTAATTTAAGTTATAATTTACCATGGCGAAAAGAAGACAACGGACAATAGAAATATTTTATTTGTGTGTACGTTTAAGTATAACGTAGCAACGTGTAAAGTTTTGAAGTGTACGCATAATTGTTTATACGATTGCACGCATATGTATTACATGGAATGGTTTAAACTACTACGTGCGTACACTTAGGTATCATGTGCACATGCATTATTCTTACGCGCACTCGAAAAAGCTGCAATTTGGCTCAGGCGTTGACACGTAATAGTGAGCACAAGTACACATTATAGTTAACAAACGTGCGTATAAAAGGTCATATGTGCCCACGTAATTATGAACACTTGCGCGCATATAAACTACTACCGCGAAACGCTACAACGTAATACAAAAACGTGCAAACTTGATTAAAGGCCCATGATGTCTCAGAAATGCTTGGCTTATTATTTGAATCATATTTTTCATTTGTTGCTTTTTGGCAATTAGTAGATTATACTGATTTAGTATTTTGTACTAAGTTAAAATACTACATTGTTTACATTTTACTACCTTTATGATAAATTATTTCACGATTATGTCTACTTCTTCAGGTTAATAGCATTTAATCTTAAACTATTATTTTAAATGTTATGAAATTCATATTTGCCCCTTCTTAAAAAGTAAATTGTCCGAATCTCCTTTAATGAGACATAATGTGCCTTTAATAGAATATTTCGATGTCAGATTTATGCCACACTTAAAACTTCGTAAAAAACACAAATTAAACTGTTGTGTGAACAACGTTTTTAACTGAGAAAGTCTGATTCAAATATTTCCATTCATGTCCACATTGAAGAAAACAGCATAGTTTCTGCAACTTAAGAATGAAATTACGATACAATTGTAAGACAAAGTAATGAAGAATGTGTAATTATGTTATTAATCTTGACAGAACAAATATGTACATAGATTTATTGCTTTTAATGTTTTCTTCTTATTTATTACTCACATTTACGTGCATCTCCATATGCACAAGAAAGCATTTGAAGCTTGAGTCTGTAGGGCGAGGGATTAAAGAAAATAATTTCGTTCCGTGACGTATACTTTAGTTTAAAGATATATTTTGCTCAACTTTGATATTTGGTTACATTAATAATTATTGCTGTACAGTCTCTTTTTAAAGTAGAATTAAACATTTTTCGGGACAGGTTACGTTTTTAAACTGTAAACACTATAGGAAAACATAGCGTAAATACAAAGTGTCATTAAAAACTTTCTTTAAAAATGTCTTTTAAGGAAAGGCCAAATTAACTTGACCAGTAACCGGTAAATTCAGCTTTCCGAACATAGTTTGAGCATTCACTTGTTCAAATGAGACATAATCTATTATAATTTCATAGATTTAAATAAAAAAAATTTGTGCAAAAAAGTATCTTACAAACGTGTGAGCAAAATATATCTTTAATGACCGATTTCTCTGTATATAAATCTACCCGATGCTGATTTAGTTTAAAGATATATTATGCTCAATTTTGATATTTGATAATAAAATTATGGATAATTAGTTTTTTATAATCTCTTTGAGAATGTAGAATTAAACATCTTTCGAGACATGTTACGTTTTAAACTGCTCACACTATAGGAAAACATAGTATTAATACATATAGTCATTTAAAACTACCTTTTAAACTGTTTGTTTAGGAAATGCCAAATGTAGAATATAAAACATCTTTTGAAATACGTTACGTTTAAAACAGTACATACTTTAGGTAAACGTA